AGTGTACAGTGACCGGGACTATAATATAAAGTTTTGGAGTACTATATGCTTTATACCGATACAGTGACCGGGACTATAATATAAAGGCACGGAGTACTACAACAGATATATATATACTTCATTCCGATACAGTCTACATTGACCGGGACTATTATATATACCGATACAGTGTTCAGTGACCGGGACTAAAATATAAAGGTACGGAGTACTACAACAGTTATATATATCCTTCATACCGATACAGTGTTCAGTGACCGGGACTAAAATATAAAGGTACGGAGTACTACAACAGTTATATAAATACTTCATACCGATAAAGTCTACAGTGACCGGGACTATAATATAAAGGTTGGAGTACTACATACTTCATACCGATACAGTCTACAGTGACCGGGACTATTATATAAAGGTATTAAGTACTACAACAGTTATATATGTTAACACTTACGTAAACTCTGGGGTACAGGTAACTCTGATAGTCTTCAGTTCGTTGACAGTTGCAGTAATGAGCGTTAATGCATCGCAACAACTCACAATTGCATCAATACCTGGGTAATTGATTGAAACTACCATTAGAAATTAGTGCTGAGACAAAAATAACATATCATCCTTAAATAAGAGTTCTACTTCCTGATAGTGAATAATTTATGTTTGATTTCAGACGATATTCAACTAACTTTCACGTTACATGTCAGTTTCAAGTAAAAGTTGTTATTCAGTACCAACACTCTATAACGTGTAATATGGACGTTAACTAAACGTGTCATTTTATGGTTAGGTTGTGTGCACTTGGAAAAGGTAGGATGCAAATGAAGACTCGTGAGAATGTACAATGAGAATAAGACTTGGTGTTCCTGAATATTAAGCGTCTAGAATACGACCAGGTGTTCCCGAGGATTAAGCGTCTTTTGCTTTATCGACGACACCCGCCATGTAAACCTAGGTCAAGTCCAATATATTTCACGTCTTCATAGCGTGAACAAGGAGGAAATAAATTTCAGATTTACAAATTATGTAGGTAATCACCAAGTAATATACTGCTACAAATCATTTTAAATCGCCTTAACTATACCGCTACAAATTATCTCACAACGACCTTATAATCTACAACTTCAAAAACTCATCAAATAATAAATCACTCCAGACCATAATCTGACAATTTGAACACATTTTCTATAGTTTTAAGTTCGAATTCTGTATTTTCAAAAGTAAAGAATATCTCAATCACAACAAATGTCATACTCAATCTATTTACATTTGTGTACTGCTTTAACCGATCAATGCTACGAATACTCAGCTATCATCGTCTCACTTACCTAACTGAGCAGTTCCAGCCAGCACCAGAATATACAGGCTCCACATGGCTGACAGTCTACAGCACTGTACACCTATAGAATAATCATGTTCCCAGAAGTCATCTGTTATTTTACCTTCTGAGAAACAGTTCATTCTGCTTAATTTTCAAGAAAAACAGCATTCGTCATTTTTGTTGATAAAAAAGCTCGGCATTCATATACCTTTTTTTTGTATTGCTTTAAATCAAGGACCCTGCGGTGATAGGGGAAGTCTTCAAATGTAAAAGCCCCTAACAAGCACTCTTCTGATCACTAAGGATCCTCCTTCGATTTGCCAACGTATTGTTTTATGGACATTCCCAACACTATAAGGAGATAACTGCTATGGGTTTATCTTGCTGTTCTTTTCTTTTGATTTGACATATTGGTTACAAAAATCTTTGTCAATTTAAAAATTGTAAATATGTATATTAAATATCCTTTTGACACATGAATAAAAACAGGAAACTTTTTATTATTTAGATAAAGGGTAGATTATTCAATTTTGATATGTTCACAGTTAATACCACATATTGTTAAATTATAATTCAACTTCATATATATAATGTGGTAGCGCACGCTATATGTAAATCTACTGATACCTAAAGACAACGCGAACATGTCATTCTTTATGAGGCAGCTCATATATCTGAAATTTAGCGAATAACATCAAAAAGATATATCATTAATGGATATGAATAAGTAAACTTCGATTAATTAAATTATCTTACCTTTATTTCAGTTGTGAATTTAACAAGATCGAATGATCACATCCATTTTTAAAACAAGTAGAACTTAACGCTGCCAGAGCCGGTAATACGTTATATGTGAGGTGGTTCAGACATACCCGGCGAACCCTTTCACTGTAGGACAGACAGGTAAGGCATGCCTTACAGACATAGGTATGACACAACATACACACACATAATGTGAGGAACATGAACTGGCCCAAACAAACTATATTTTCTATGTAAATATTCCATTATATGCAAATGATTGCTGTAGCTGGTTATCATTTTAAGAAGTATATATAAGAAATAATCAACTTATGTCCGCATATTATGGAAATTATACGTATATTATAAAAGAGTAAACATTTTCGAACCCTGAAATATATTCCATCATTATATACAAACATAGGTTGATTTTATCTCTTCTACCAAGTAAAATGTAATGAAAGTCTTTTTTGTGTCTACCGCATTCTACATACGCTTTTCATAAGCAAGGTGACCTAGATGAATTAAATAAGTCTGTTCGTTTGCGCGCGCTAACATTTGTCATGTGATGCCTATTTGTCTTCATTTCACAACATGCTGCGCATTTCTGACGCTGCAGGCAAGATTCCTTTTTGTCTCTTTAACCTCTATATATTTAGAAAGGATTTCTATTTTCATTTTTTATTCGACAGACAATAAACAGCACACACTGACGCCATATTTTGTGCCAGATGTTTATTTCAATCAATCGAATCCACCAATCTATCGACATCGCTCGTCAACACATGGAGTTAGCAATTGACAGATTTTCAATGCAATTTATAGTCACCTTCGTAGTAAGTCCAGCGGACCATTCTCACTGCGAGTCTGACATTTCTGCCCAATAAATTATAATTTAATGAGGGTACTCTTATTGGACAAATAAAAGCAGTCAGGCGACTTGCTTGTCTACCGGCACTTTTAATTGGGGGAAATTTTGGATGAGAGTAAGTCTGTTAGAAAATAAAACACTCTCGTGTATGATCTTTCGTCCATTTACATGGTTATTAACCAATAAAAAATGTCGTTACCTCGCAAACATGGTCGAAGTTTATTTTATAAAACGTAACACTACTTCAGTTATATTTATACGTTACAGTGTATGGCTAGGTAAGTAAGCACATAGTTAGTTCCTGTTCATTTTCTTGTTTATTCCAACCATAATACCCCAACAGCAATGTGTGTCCTCCAGGCGCAACATATCGCGTCGTTATAATGTATGATTTCGGGAGTGCCTCAACGCAACTCTCTCACCGTTACGTATCACGTGCAGATGGTTAAGAATGACCACAGGAAAAGGTGCTTTAGTACACACTTATATCGGTTAATTTACGTATAAACTCGCTGTGATTCCTAGAACGGTGTTTACATGACAACTTTATAGAAGGGAGCGTATTTCCTGGAATTATCTTTCTGATTTATTCCTCATCAATCACAAATACGATTTTGAACAAGGTTCGGTTGTGCATTTCATGTACATATTGATATAAATTCTACCTCGTGTGTGTTGTAATTACAGTGTTCATTGGTCATTGTAAATTGTACTCGTGTGCAATAATGAATCTGTTCCAATTCTTCCCGCACTACAAAATATATTTACCATTCTATGACACTCGTTGTTCACGAGATAAAAATAATTCAAAATAGTCAATTTAATTTTTGAACAACATCCAATAATCATTAAATACATAGACAATATGAAATATGTTTAATGCAGGTTATCAATCAATCACCTAACCAGGCTAATAAGCAGTATTTTGCCGACCCATACATTATTTTTATATGACGAAAAGATAAATTATATACTAACCCTTTTAAATATTCATTTACCTAATAAACTATTCATTAGGCGAAGTAGGGGGTTACCCTAAAGGCTAATTTTAAAAAACGGTCTATATACGATTTTGAGAGCTGATTACGTATCTAAGATGCATCATATTGGATTGCAATGACTTGTTAGGTACATTGTATATAACCTTTATTAGTTATTTTATTTGTACCAAGCATCCTTCTTTGTTATTGTTTGTTTTTATTGGAAGATAGAAAAGAACTTCATGGATTGGCTGTTTGTGTATTTCTTCAAATGTGTTGTGTGTGGTGTGCTTCTTAGATTCAGTGAATATCTTATCTTGTATAATATTTTGGAAATTCCATTACGTTATTATGTGTTTAAGAATGTGTGTGTATGTCTATCGGTAGTGTAGGGTCATGGCCGTGTTCTGAGATCTGATGTAATAAGGTGCCTATTGATATTAGTTGGTGTGTTATTTTAGAGAAGAGCATGTGACTTAATTTATGAAATCTTGTTAATATAACTTGCTGTTATTCTTTGTTTTCGATCAATTGTTTTCTTTCTTTGTTTTTATAGTAAGGTCCAGGGGGGTGAGAGTAGTAGCTATTTTTGTCTTTCGTAGCCTTTCGAGAGTTTTGTTTGATGTTTGTCGAGTTGTGGGGTATACATGCATGGTCGTACTTGATTTGAGTAAGTTTTGACAAAATTGTGAATATAATGCTTTTGTTTGAATGGGCTTTTATGAACTAGTCATGTAGGAATCAATTTCATGTATTCTTTTAGTTTTTTACATTAGGATGACTTTTTTTTCAAACCAGCCAGCGGCGCAAAGCGCCGCCGGGGTTTGATCTGTAAACACTTTGTCCCCTTCCGTCGCTTCCCCATGCATGAAAGCCTTCTGGGAAATAAAGGCCGCATACTGTCTTCAAAACTATGATAGTAAACCCTACGATATCCGTCATTATTACAGTTTACTAGCGAAATGTCATGAATTCTCAATTTGATAAAAACATCTCATAATGCAGTGAAGATATACGCAATATTTCGGTTTCAAGTTAAGATGAAGCGACGGCAGAATAAGAGTCTCTTTCACATTAACTGCGGTCCTACTATCTCTACATGCGCATAACCACTTCCGCGAGTACGTACTTGGTAACCGCAGACGCAAGAAACGGTACGATCTTGTGTTGTTTTCAAGTGTTTCAACAGAGTTGATGCTTGTGGCAAGGAGCAGGGAATAAGTTTTTTTCGTTTTCCCGTAGACAAGAAAAAACGTTTAGCATGGATAAAGGCTGTAAACCGTGACAAGTGGACTCCGACGAATGCTAGCTACATTTGCTCCACACATTTCGAGGGAGGGTGGCATAGTTATGATTACGAGGACGTCAATTATCGGCCAACAATATTTCAATATAAAGATAAACGATCGACACCAACAGAAAAAGCTAGGGAACAGAGGGTATCTAAAAGAAAACTTGAACAGGTGCACAAACATAGATGTGGTGTTGTATTAAAATAATGTACATATGTATCTTAAACTCAAAACAATTTTTAAAATCATATTGACCCAAAAGTGTCAAAGATCAAGTAATTTATTTCAAGGTCTGCATGGATGTATAAAAAGACATAACATATTTTTAGGTAGAATTGTGATACAAATGTACTACATTATGACATATGTAAGGAAAATATCTATCACAAGATTTTAGTTTTTCATTAAAATCAATAACTTGAACTATCAAACATAACATCCACTTATCAAGAAGAAAGGGGTATAGAAATACACAAAAATAAGATGAATAAATAAAAAAAAATAGGAACTAAATTGTTTTTGTTTTGTTTATCAAAAATAGAGCGTTTCATTTATACTTGCATGTATAAACACAGAATCTAGTGTTATTCTTAATACACATCTTGTACCATGTGTACTGAATAAAATTTATATACATGTACATTGTACATATAAATTGTAGGAATTTGTTGAAGCAGAAAAGGCAAAGAAATACACAGAGGATCAACATAAAATGTTTTCTGTCTTTACACACTCCTATTGTGAAGTATCATCACCTGAGCATGCAGAAACTGCTCATATGGAATTTGAAACAACAGATGATTCAGACATTATTTCATTCCAGAACAATGGTATGACTAAGCTTATTGCTAGTTAAGAATAATGTACATATTCCTTTAGCTGAATTGTATGATGCCCACTCTCAGATGCACTGTACATTTAATCATTTTCTTAAGTTTTATTAGGATCTACTTCAGTATTTGAAATCTGAACTAATTTTATAAATAAAAAAAATATTTATGGTATTTGCAAATGATTGAATTAATCAAATGATTTAAATATATCATCAATTGCTATTTGTGCCAAACCATAGACTTTATGATAAAATTTGCACATGTATGTATGACACCTATATGCTACTTCAAGGTTTAGCAAGCACAAAAAAACAAGGGGAAAATGGAAGGACTAGTCGGCTTGGTCTCAAAATAGTGTGTCAGAATTTGAGTGCCATGTCTGTTTACTTTCAACTAATGTAATTGTTAATTGAGGAAAATTTGAGATGCCAGTATCAATGAAACTACCAATTCATACGCAGTACAATTTCCAATGACAATAATAAGGAAACAGTATGTGAGTGGTGGCGGTTGATTTTTACCCTTGTATAAATTAGGTTGTTAATATTCAGAATCCCAAACTGAACCTCTTGAGTTGATCGAAGAAAACAAAATACTGAAGGAGGAGCTTCAAAGGTACAAGGAACAGCTGCTTAAATCAAGATGGAGTACAGAGCAGATAAAAGACAATGATACAAGCACCAAATTCTACACTGGATTGCCAACTTTTGCGGTATTCCTTTGGCTTTTTAGGTACAAATTGTCGTAATAAACACAGTCACTCAATTTTGGTAAAAAATTGAACAAAGTCAAATAATAAATGATTGGGGTTGGCGCTACTCTGCTGTATGGAACTCCTATGTTGTATGATGCTGTCAACATAGAAAAAATCTTGATTTTTTTTAAATATTGTACTTATTTACCTAACTGCAATAAAAGGTTAATCTGAGGTCAACACCAGTGTATGATTAGAGTTTTGGTCATGCAATGCCTAATAATTCCCCTCTTTTCCAGAGATAAGCATGGTTTTATAATTGTGCTTTGTAACCTTAATACTCATCTCTACAAAGATGTAAAAAGGGGAGAAATTAAACCATTTTCATCATATTACAGGTTTCTTAGACCAAAAGCTGAATGTATGACCTATTGGAGTG